CAAGTCTGAAATCACTTACCGCACTTATGAAAGTACTTGCAATATTGATTTACCAATTTAGTCTTGAATGGAGGATTTGAAGTTTGTCGACTAAAAGGTTGATAACACAATATAAAGATCCTAATCTATCTCAACGCGGAGGACATATTGCACACTTTCTCGTATTGTGCAATCATGTTATGCCCCACAACCTCAACGTTCAACTTGAAAATCACATATCACAAAGATGTTAGAGAACTTACCTTGAGCTATCCTCTTTTTTATTCTCCTTTTTATCTACATCTGAGCGAGTGTATTTATTGGAACGGGTACGAGGTCTGAATAAAGTTTGGCGCGGCCGTTGAAGATTCGAGGAGCTACCTCGAACTAAAGACCGGATCACGGGGGAGTAACGTACTTGTCGTGCGAGGGATTTATCAGTTTGTTCAGGAACGGTAACAGCGGACGGGGCTTTTTCTGTTTTAGTAGAGGCTTTGTCCGATGCGGCGGATACGTCGGTAACTGACCGAACGGGAGCGACGATAGGCTTAGATGATATGGTTCGAACTATCTTATTAGGCCTTGTTCGAACATATTGCGGATTCCTTTGTCGTAAGGTGTCTTTCCGTAGAAGTTCAGCACGAATCATTTTATTCGGCTTAACTTGAATATAATTATTACTATTAAAGCTATTAATCTGTTGTGTGGAAGAAAGTGACATCCTAATATATTGAAGTTTTTTCCAGTTTAAATTAAGAGTGCCCATCCAATATTTATAAGTAAAAAAAAGTTACCAAGTTAAAATCGGGAAGTCAGCCAACCTGCTTGACTACTTCGTTTTTTACAACTGGTTTAATTAAACCTTTGAACAAAGTTTGGTTGTTTTACTGTAAGTAAGAGAAAAGGTAAAACATGATGTAATAAGTAAATGTAAATTATTTATTTCGTGCCCAACTTTTTTAGATGTCCTTCCCGCCACCGAGAACCGACTTTCTGCATACTTACTGAACGTTTGGTTGCCTTGTTGCGAACACACCACGTATAGATAGATAGATAAATAAATAACTTCAAAGAGACCCAATTTAAAATCCAGTTTATGTAGTACGCCTAAGTTCACCTGACCAATCACATCCCACATCAAGGGGTTATCTTTCAGGGGAAAATCGTACAAACTTAATATATGATGTATGACACATCTACACATACACATACGTGCGTACGTGCGTAAGTGCGTAAATTAAAAGTTTAAAAAAACATCCGGAAAATGTCAACACACACGTCACCAAAAATCTGATACACAGTGCTTGATTCGCGGAAAATGATCAATATATTTCGCGAATTTTACAAAATGTCATATCTATATACTGTATGTATTATGTTAGCCGGTTCATATTCACAAAAGATATGTACGTAATTTGTGGTAGCCTATCTTAAAAGAAGAGAATCATTCTATTATGGCTCCTGTACTTCAGTCTCATCAGGCATACCACCTAATATTTCTTTTTACATGCGTGATTGCAATAGATTAGTGTGACGATGGAGAGAAAGATTGTGCCAAATTGTCACATACCTCTCCTCGAGATAGGGTCATTTATCTTTTTCTGCAAGAAACGCTTTCAATTTCTCTAATGCCTTGTGTCGATGCGATATTTTATTTTTAACGGACTTGGGCATCTCAGCATACCTGTGTCGATTGATGCACGTGAAAAGTTGTTTTTTTTTTTTTAATTTGTATTTCTCGAAACAAATTCCGGATTTCAATTACAGAAAGATGAATGAATAAAGGAAAGGATAGTTCACGTTTGATCGAATCCATCCGGTTGAAAAATAGGATCCCACCCGAAATCTGTTGGACCACGAGGAGGCACAATC